ACAGTACACTCAAGAACTCCGATAAATTGTGTGAATGGATTTCAGTGTCACAATCCTACCAGTCATGTATGCTGTTCTACAAAAGAAAGCAAAAAATAAAGTTGTCATTCACTTTTGTCTATCAGTCTTTTTTTCAAGAAAAGACCACACAACAAATAAGCAAGAAATTTCATAGTTCTCAGTGTGCCTTACAGTCTTTCTTGTATAAAGTTTTTGAGCTAGACAGTTATTTTAATAAAGTTGCACTAGTGTGACCAATACAAAAGATAACACAACTGACTGGGAGCTATCCTTCAACTAATTTAATGTCTCTTTTTACTTAATTGAATATTGACAAGCTTTTTCTTCCCCTACTCTTATAAACACAATCAATTACTTGAATAAGCTATATTTAATTACAATACCTCACAAAAAGCTATACTAAAATATCTGGGTCTGTTTGATTTAGATACTTAGTCAAGCTTTTTTGTCTTTTTTTATATAAATGTTACCACAATTTCAAATGTTCTGAATAAATGTTACTGCTGTCAGTGAAACACCAGGATTTTTGAGGACTATACTTACTTGTAGAACTTAATACTTTGCCCTGCACATTACAAGTTTGTTAAGTTAGAATATCAGTGTCATTAATGTTCAATCTAGAAAGTAGTCAAAAATGCAAAACTAAAATTGATGTCATTGAGATGGTGGAGAAAAACAAAATTCAGATGTGCTAGCAACTGAACCTGCACTCTGCAGCTGCCTCTTCTGTGCCAGCCAATGACAGAACACCATCCTCCAGATATGTCTGCTCTTGCCTCCTGTTAGTTATGACACTCTTATTCCCTGGCTACCAAGGACATCCATCAGGAAAGGGTACCCTACATACAGCACATTTCAGGCAGTGATAGACTTTACTAGCGGGAGGAAAGAAGACCCTTGATCCTTGCTTGTGCTGTATTTTAACTCACAATGAGTGAGAATACATTTTCATTTGCCATATCATACCAGAAACTGTAAAGATGCTAACAGATAGGGCAAGACTTCATTTTCTTCCCTCTAGAAACCATATTGCTGCCTGAATACAGTCTTTGGAATGCTCAGAGCCAAAGAGCATACTTACAAATGTTTCTACAGTCACAAAACACAGACACATAACTCATACTAAAAACACTAGCAGGTATGACAAGTTGATTTGATCTTTTGGAAAGGTTTAGCATTTAAAATTTTGTATGCCATATATGAAGAAAGAGTACCAGCAGGATATTGAAAACCACAGAGTTTTCTGTAGGAAGTATTAAGAAAGAACAGGGCAACTAAATGAATACCCAGGAAAAATAGATATTATAAAATTGGATCCCTGCTGTATCAAGCTTTGTGGATGATATTGCCAATTTGGAAAACAGTAGATTTCAGAGGTTTTAGTATACCAGAAGTTATATGGAATATTGCTTAAGTCTCTATTTTTGCATTGGAAACTACACCACTTTCAAGTATAACAGAAATAACTCTATCTTCCTAGTATTGAACAAAATTGTTGTCTCAAACTACATTATCTATTTGGATTCACAGTAAAATCGTTGAAAGGTGAAACAGTACAGAAATCATCCTTTAGCTGAAACTGAGGATTAATTAACACAATTTTCTTAATGTATTTTACACTTAAATCTCATGTGATAAAGCCATGCGTGTTACACTTATTTCCTTACAGAATAAAAGAAGGGATAAAAAACACAAAAATGTAAAGTAGAAGTGCATTGTAATGGGCAAAAATAACTTGAATTTTGGTTATTCAGTTTCTTTTTATTCAGCTTAAGATACTAAATAATATTGCATGGTTTTTGAAAACTTGTCAAGATTTTCAGGACTTTTAATCTGAAGCTTTTAAATTTAAATTTCTGGAATTATAAGCAAACCTTCAGAACTTTATCTTGTTAATTCTTCTGAAGAAAGTCTCTTTGTTAAAGAATTTTTGAAAATGATAGCTGGAGAGAGCTTGCAGTTGGAAACGTCCCCTTCTATCTGTTAGTTTCAAGTTCCTGTAACAAGTAAAAATGGGAAATCTAAACAACAATGTGAGAAGTTCACAGTCTCCTCTCAAATGATGACTTCAAATAACATGATAATTATCTAGAAGGATTCTTTTCCCCCCTTTTTTTTTATCGTAATATTTTGTAAACCTGTTGAGTAAATAATGTCATATCACACACACCCTTCCATCTCCTAGGGACCTGTGATTCTCGGATAATCACAGAATGGTTTGTGTTTGAAGAGACCTTAAAAATCATCTAGTTCCAACCCCCCCTGCCACGGGCAGGGACACCTTCCACTAGATCAGGTTGCTCAAAGCCCCACCCAACCTAGCCTTGAACACTGCCAGGAGTGAGGCATCTACAAACTCTCTCAGCCACCTGTTTCAATGCCTCTCCACCCTCACAGTACAGAAATAAGCAGACACTTCATTTTGCAGAAAAATTTCTTCATGTTTCAGGAATCAGCCACAGCACACTGATTTGCACTCAAATGTAATTGTTCTGAAAAGCTATGAAACTTTTCCTCCCATAAGATACAGACAAAAGCGGTTTCCAAAACATGAATTCTTGACATAAGACAGTCCTGAACTTCAATATGCATAGTAAAAGAAATATCATTTGCCCAAAATATAAACAGCTGTGATACATTTATCAGGGTCAGAAAACATGGGTGCTAATCAATTTGGATTAAAGAGTTGTGTTTCAAACAGCTATGTTGTCAAAACATTGATCTTCTAATACCTGGTAAATTATAAGCTAATAAAAGCAGATTTTTGAAGATAATTGAAGATTATTTAAACATATGTGGAAAACTGATAAAATGTGAATCCAGCGCTGCTAGACTCATATCTGTCATGAGTCTTTATACTTCACCATTTCGTAAGTCACAGCTAGATGTATAAATATATTGTTAGATACTATAATCCAACACTATTTTATGTCAAGACTTTTCACATTAAAAAATGTGGTACATGAACTCAGTTTTAAGGTCCTTTCAGTGCATCGGATCAGAATACATTAGGTTTTAAAATGAAACAAATAACTTCCAGACTGTATGACCTGTTTTCACCCCTCTCCATTTGTATTTAATGAGAAATACAGGATGAGCTTTCCTTTAGGGTATTTACATAGGTCCTTTGTTAGCATGGTTGTGCCTTATTCGAAGCTGCATGGCACATAAAAAAAAAAAAAAAAAAAAAAAAAAAAAAGTATAAACATCCTATTGCTTCACTGCAAAGTTCATTTCCAAGTTAGAAAGAAACACACAAATTTCTGATAATTGATTAAAAAATCCATATGTTATTTCCTTTATTTTTTTATGATGGGTGACTCTCTTCTTGTAGTTTTGACGAGGCCAACAATAATGAGCTCCATCTTTAGGCATCTTTTAAAGTACAAGTACACTAAATTTAATATTTTTAAGCATTTATGATGACAAATAAAATAAAATTAATAATAAAACTGTAATTTAATATTAAGTGTTCTTTGGCTGGCTCTCCTCCTTCTGCCTTCCATTCCACAAGCATACGCAGTTCTTTTTCTCAGAAAGAACATAGATCATATTGTGACACTGTATTTTGTACCTAGAGAAACAGCAACAGACTACTATGCACTGACATACCTGAAAAGTTGCTTGCTGAGCACACTCAGCAGAATGACTAAATTCTGACTCAATCAGTGTGAGCCAGAGCCATGGGTAGAAGAGAATGAGCAGTCTGTAATTAGTGATGCCCGCAAAAATGTCAGTAAGAATCCTGCCATGGCAAAACCAATAAAGTGACAAAGGATAAAGGATTATCTACAGGAATAGCTACAGGATGACTTGCAGCAGCCATTTTAAATGCAAGTGTACTAATTGCCTATAACATTTGAGATTTTTGTAAACCAACACCCACAGGGCAAACTCTGTTGCCTGTGTTTCCTTAACACTTCCCAGCTCCGCCTTTCCTAAAAGTTGTATTAATCATTTGTTACTGTTTGCTGCCAATAGTTTCCTGATAATGTCAACAAAACAGACATGGACAAATCAACTTCCTAAATCTAATAATTATTATTCCTGCAGCTCTGAAATGAAGAGGTTGACCTTAAACAGTAAAATATTCTATTCCTGGCATCTCTCCCTGTCAACTTTGTAGACTGCCAGCGGCAGTGCTCAGAGTTTATTGCCTTCATTGCCATATCAACATTGTATGAATCTACTATATACCAACCAATACAAGCAGAATGTGAAGAATAACAGCCCTTTGTCTGCCTCTGAACAGTAATGACAAATATGTGGGTAACATAAAAGTGGCAACTGGCAGACTCAATCATTTTATAATCCAGCATACAAGAAAATGAAGATGTGGTATTACTGATGTATCTTTGAAGGAACAGAATGCAGGTATTATTAGGCAAATTGGCAAAAAAGTCTTCTCATTGGAGGTCTCAAATTAGACACACCACTCCTTGCTCCCGCATCTCCTGCATGACTGGTTTGATACCTTCCTTCGCCCCCAGGGGGAGGGGATATTGTTTAACAACAGTTACTTTGCTAAATGGCAGAGGGGATGCATTTCGAAGTAGCCTGATATTCAGCTGCGGTGTCCTGAAAGTCCACAGAAATCCTTCTGAATCCTCCCACCCCTTTCCTTTTAAGAGCATCTATTCCTAACAAGTTAGTCGGAATGTTGCCAACCACTATGTTAACAGTGACCGCATTTTCCTCTCATGGTAATGTCAGCTTTACCAGAGCAATGTTCATAACCTCTGTTGACTCTAAAGCATTCAGGACACAAACGTTTCACTTAGAGGGAATCACCCCACACCTCTGTGCATCTTCCTCAGTCAGGGCAGAGATCTGTGCACCGGTGTCACTTTAAAAGGTTGCAGGTGCATGCTTAGAACCTACAATAGCTGTAATGATTAAATCTCCTCTACTAGTTTTAGTGAGCTGTCAGATATAAATCCATCCCCTGCTCCCCCACCCACTGCTAAGGAATGGAGGTTCTAGTTTCCCTGCTGACTTTTCCCGTTGCCCGTGCTCTCCGCAGGGGTGGTCGTGGGTATGACAGGAGAGATTTCTCTGTTTGAATCTGAGTGTGGTGGGTATTGTTTTGGACCATACCACTTTGATATCAGCTTACTCAGCTTATTAAGGGGTAAACCATCCATTACATCCCTGGGAACTCCCTTTTTAATTCCAAAAGCCCATCACTGTTGTCAAGTCAGGGGCTGTCCTCCTCCGCCCCCCTGTTTTAGAGTGGGAGTAGTCAGCAACAGTGGTGTGGTCAGTGGGAGCAGTCACAGTTTTACTAACAGAAAGAGGTATATCTTTAGCTCCTACTTGATGGATTCCTTTAGATTTCTCCTCTGGAGTTCTCACAGGACCATATTTTCTGCTATAGTCTATCAATTCCTGTGCTACATCTCTCCATGTCCACATCCTTTTATGTTTTGGGTGGGAAGGAGTCAAGATGTGATTGAAAGGTGAATCTGTGCTAGCACTAGTGTAATCTCTTCTGCCTTTTATAAAGCTCTCCAGGTTTTCTGCAGGGTCTAAAGATGCTATGGTCCTTTGGAGTTCAATCCCGGTAGATTTGAGTGACTCTGGGAATCCTCTTATCAGAGTCATGATTTCAGGATTCACCAAGAGCATCATTGGGGATGCACATCCGGGAACTAACTTTCTTTCATGTACCATTTGCAGGCAGGCTGCTTTGTGTCCACTTTCTAGCAATTGATCAACTGTGCCTGTGATTGCTAGAGGATCCCCTCTGTCCAAAGGGTTCAACTCTCTGGCCCAATAGGCAGCCCACTGGGTTAGGGACCATGGGGTGTGTCTATTCCCTGTTGTTAAAAAGACGTCGTGGCCCCAATAACCACTAACTTCCTTTTCATTTATCTGAATTTGGTCCCCTCTGGTTAAAGATACACACCACACATACTCTGTTCGGATTCTTTGGGAAGGCGCCCATATTCTCTTTTTATTTTGGCCAATTCAGTGGGAGTATATGGTATCTCTTTAATCTCTTTGTAATATGTGCATCATTATCCTTATCATTTATATAAGCATATTCTGCCTTAATCAAAGGTCTCACCCTGGGATTCTCCTTGAAGTGTTTCCTCGTTTCCTTTAGTTCCTTTTGGGGGTATATTTGATTTATTTGCTGAATACCTATCTCTTCCATATTCATTTATATCTCACTTGATGATTCAACAGACTTTGAAAATTCTTCTCTTAAGGCACCTTTTAGACAGCGATTTTCTTCCTCCTTTTCCTCTGTCTGCTGTTTTAATAGCAAATTACTCTCTCTCTGCTAACTGCTCTTCCAGGTTGGAGGTTGTTATTTGCAAAAGTTGCACCAAATTTCCAAGAGATTCTGTGATTTGTTTTTCATGACTGCTTAGAGCAGTCTTCAATTGCTGCAACCAGGCTGGCTCCAAGAACTGCACAGATTATCGCTTTGCTTTTACCTGACCATAATCTAGCCTCATTATGTATAGAAATCACTCGGTGCATTACATTCTGCAAATTAGCCCAATTGTCTCAAGCCTTGTCCTCCCTGCATGGGGAGGGTTGAGCTCCAAACTTTGCTAAGAGTGCATAGAACAAGTCAAGATTTTTTACTAATAGGGAGTTTTGATAACCATCCTTTTCACTCATTCTTATTGTGAAAGGGCCTGACTCACTTTGGGGAGGTTAAACTCAGTTACATGCAACAACTGCTACATTGCCCTTCTTTCTCCGAGTGGCTGAAGGGACCAAAATCTACCATGGGGAGTCAAAACTTAGTTACACACAAGTGTAGACTTTCTCAGCTTCAACTTCCCCGGGTAGTTGACCTCATCTATTGAGGACAGTTCCCCCTTTTGCACTAAGAGACAGATCCTTGCACTTGATCCTGCTAGAGAGAGACCTCAAATTGAGTTTGGGGTGCAATACACTAAGGCTTGTGTTTGTGCTGGAATCTTTAATTGTCCCCCTTTCTTTCTGGACACCTCTCACCCTTTCAGGTGTAGGGTCAGGTGCGGCTGGAACAAAACATTTTCCCCCTGTTACAGACCACACACAACCTGCACCCCCCTGTCTCTCAGTATCCTGTCCATGATGCTAGTTTAATGTCACGATCCACACTGGACTCGTGATGGTTCATTTGCTACGATCTCAAAAGTGCAAAATTAAGGTGACCTACACCAAAGGGTATAGCAGTAATTAAACAGTAAAACTTTATTGTGTTGTCTGTGAAGCGGCATGCAATAGATAGAGATGGGTGAAAGAAAGAAGGAAATCAAGTTAAGTTCAGCGAGAAGATGGAGAGAGGTTAAAGCTACCACTGCTGTTCTCACGATGTCCTAACAGTCCTGGGTCCAGCTGATGCTGCGTCGTCGATTGTCATGGTCCTTGGTGGGGAAGCTTCAAATTTTCATTGTTCAAAAGTCATCTTTTATGCTTAGTAACACACCTTGCTCCACCTCTGTCTCAGGAATCTCCACCCTTCTCAGAATTCAATTATCATATCTCCGCCTTTCTTGAGTGAGGACATCACGCATGCACAGGAGGGAGTGTCCAAGGCGTGGTCAGTCTTGGAGGCAGGCAGCCTTCCACCAGGAGGGGTGTTTTGGTATTACAATGAAGCAGAGTTCATCTAAGGTTCAGGATTTCTTCATCGATGTTATGGCAACAGTTGTGATCCATCTTTTTTAACCGTAGCTATGCAGTTATCTCTAACGGCTCTAGGCAGGTCCAGGTACCAAAGGACAGCACAGTACTCTCTGTACCACACAGTTCTGTATTCAGGAGCCTTTGCACTGCATTCCACTCTTGGGATTGGCAACTGCTCTTCAAGCAGGCCATTGTCGTGTACCGTACTGTCCATGTCCCTGATGACAATGTTAAGACAGTGCTGATTTTCTGACCGACTCTTACAACATTAGAAAAAAATTTTCCACAGCAAGAGTGGTCAGACAGTGGAATAGGCTGCCCAGGGAGGGGGTGGAGTCACCATCCCTGGGTGTGTTTAAGGGTCGTTTAGATGAGATGTTGGAGGATATGGTGTAGGGAAGAACTTTGTAGAGTAGGGCTGATGGTTGAACTCAATGATCCCAAGGGTCTTTTCCAACTTGAATGATTCTGTGATCATCCTGCCAGTCTCTGCTCTTAATATATCTTCTAGTCACTTCAAAAACAATTACATTGTTCCTGACTCATGCATGATCCAATATAACAGGTAGGGGAAGCATAAAGCACCTGGGAGAACAAGTAAATATGAGTAAGTTTTTGCTTTCAGTTACAAGTACCCATGTTCTCCCCTTCCTTGCCTTGGGTGTCTCTTGCTCTGGTTGCTCTGGTTGCTGCTCAGCCATGCACAGCTCTTCATCTTCCATGCCCCATTCTCCTATAAGCCCTTCACCTGCATACAGTTAACACTTTTTTTTCAGATTTCAGTGTTATATTTAAACATTCACTCAATCAGCAAGTAGAAACAACAGCTCCATGTGTCTACAGCAATTTCTTTTGTCTTTTGCTGGGGTGGCCACAAATCATTTTTCTTTGATTGACACCTCTCTCACTTCTTAAATTTTGAATCTCCTCCTGCCACCGAAAGAAATGGACAGGGTAAAGCTGTTCTTTCTCTCCAGGGGCCAAGTATATCTCAGGTCTTTTCCTGACACAATCAGTATCAGTTGGTCTGCTAGACATTTTTTTCTGTGTCCTTAACCATCACACAAGCTCTGTGTGTATAATAAGTGGGGACTCTCTAAAAAACTGTGATCCTATAGATATTAGACTCAAATATCTTTCCCATCCCTTGTTTTTCCCTTTCCTCATACCCTTGCCTCACCTTCCACACTCTTTCACAGTCCGAGTAAGGAAGGACAGCTTTTGAGGGGACATGTTAGCACAGCATTCTTCTGGCAAAGTCGGCAGCTGTGTCTCCACTTAATTATTAAAAAAAAAAAAAAAAAAAAAAAAAAAAAAAAAAGAGAGAGAGAAGCCATATTTCATGGCATCAACATAAGCAGAAGGTCAAATCCTTTGATTTTAAAAAGCTCGGTCATATTCTGTGTCATAAAACTTAAATACTCACATGTGTAGTACACGGAGGAGTTGGTTCTCCACAGTGTTTTTTCTCCATTTCACTTGGGCTTATAATTTACATCAGGGTGGAAAGTCTTGGCTAACTGGGACTCCTGAGATTTTCTGAAAATAAACACATGAAAAAAACAAGCAATCACAGATATAATTGTGTCTCAAACAGTTCCAAAAATGGTACTACACAGAACAAGAGATTTCACTTCCTAATAGAGAGCTAGGTCATGAGTGTATTATGGTTTCTTAGTTGGGATATGTCTGTATAACAAATTGCAGTACCACATTGCACTCATGTGAGCTCTAAGGATGCCAGCTGGAAGCTGGCAGGAGGCCAGTTACATTAGCAGGGGTTTGAGGGGGCAAAGGAACTACTTTGGTGCAGGGTCTACATGCCAGGGCAGGGCACTGCCCTAATGGAAGACTGCCACTTCCAGACACCCAATGAGTTAATTTGTGATATTGTGGGGCACTGCACTACATTGCATTGACATATCAAAGTGGTTCTGCTCTTTGGTCTCCTCATGCTTTGGAGGGGAAAAAAAACATGAAAGCAGACATCTAGCGTACAGTGAACCATAATGTACTGGATGCTTGGTTGACCAACCCAGTCCCACCTGCACTGTGTGACAGAGGCACAGTCAAAACAGAAGTGCACCAGTTATCATAGACCTATCAGCATTTTACACTTAAAGCACATTGTAAAGTTTTGGTTGTATACATTTGTACAAATAGAGTAATCTAGTGAATAAAAAAAATCTTGCTTGAACCTTTACTGTCTTTTTTTCACAGAGAAGTTATTTGATTACAAACATTAAGAATACACACCTTTTCAAATATACTGAAAACATTACAATCCTCTGTTATGATATAAAGAAAAAAAGAGGTAATACAGGCCCAGACTTCCCTGCACTTACATGAGTAGTGCTGACTCAATAATACTTTCATTAAGAGCTGAAAAAATAAGGGAGACTGCAAAATTTTTAGAGCGCTATTCACACAATATATATATTAAAAAAAAAAAAAAAAAAAAAAAAAAAAAAAAAAAAAAAAAGGACAGGCTAAAATGTAAAACATACTTTACAGACAGGAAGCATTCATCAGTGTGTGAGCTATGCAACACCTATTCTGTTAAATGAGATTGTATTTTAAAGATTTAAAACAGTCATCAGAATTTCTAATACCTTTATTTGAAATCAAAATTGGCATGTTTATTTCATTTTTGTTCTTTGTTAAATCAGTGTTTTTTTCTTATAGGAGATACCAACTTTAATGCATAATTTACAGCTGAAATACACATAAAAAGAAATTCAAATACACCTTTATAAGTCACCAGCAGTATACTGTGTGGACTTGAGAAGCACTTTTATTCATCTTTACTCATATCAGTAAGTATTTTCTCTCTGTGCCAAATTAAAGTTTAAAATCTCACATTTGCAGCTAATCCCTAACTGTATGATGGGGGAAAAAATGAAGCATGGATTAAGAACACAGAAAAATCATTATTCAGATGCACTTGCACCTCTAGACTATCTCTAGTTTCAATGCAGAACTCCAAACCATGAAAGTTTCACTGGAACAAGTCATGAACTTATGTGAACCTTGGTTACAATCTGGCCTGAATTTGTAATAAAATAATAATGAGACAAGTGAGTTTGGTTTTCCTACTTTTATGAGCATTTCAGAGATCTGTAGTTCTTATCTAACTTTTCTGCTGGTGTGAAGCTGTGTCATGCATAAGCCACTAGGACTATAATACAGTCCAGATAAATGTTTTACTGAGGTACACTTCTGTTAATAAATATTAAGTGTTTTATAATACAAATAAACTTGCTCAGGCAAAAGTGGTTGGGGACTCTTATCCAGCATCTTTTGACAGTGCTCAGAAAGCAGCAAGCATGTCTTCCCATAACATTATCTTTACCATTTTATTTGCATTACAGTCATGTCTGTAAGTGCTTCCTGGAAGCTGCTGCAGTCTAAATAAAGATCTAGGGCTGCACCTCCGTTATTTTTTTCTGTTAGTGCACCAAATTAAAAACAACAACAAATATACTGAAAGAAATTACGTGATGCAACAGACAATGCCAGAATCAAGTTACT